GTTAAATATATTATTCATAATAAGGAGTTGCATAATAAAATAAGCAAATATAGATTAACTTCACAGTATATTTCTTGTAATTTTTGGTTAGAATAAAACCTTTTCAACCTTACAACTAATATATGGTCATTTTAGAAAAATTTAGAAAATATGCAAAAAGGAACAGAATTTTCAAAACCTAGAATTTTATGCATTAGAAATAAGCAGTGTTGGGGTGTCTGAGTGGCACAATTGGTTAAGTGTACCACTCTTGGTCTTAGTTCAGGTTATGACCTCAGGGTGGTAAGATCAATCCCTGTGTTGGGCTCTGAGCTCAGCACAGAGTCTACTTGAGATTGTCTCTCCTTCCCCACCCTGCCCCTCTCACTCATACTCACTCATACTATCTCTCTCTCTCTAAAATAAACAAATAAATCTTTTTTTAAAATTTTTTTAAAATTTTTATTTATTTATTTATTTATTTATTTATTTATTTATTTATTTATTTATAATAGTCACACACACAGAGAGAGAGAGGCAGAGACATAGGCAGAGGGAGAAGCAGGCTCCATGCACCGGGAGCCCGACGTGGGATTTGATCCCGGGTCTCCAGGATCTTGCCGTGGGCCAAAGGCAGGCGCTAAACTGCTGCACCACCCAGGGTTCCCAACAAATAAATCTTTTAAAAAAGGAAGCAATGTTACTATATTTCAATCTCTCAGCCTATATATTTTCTGTATAAATTGCTTTTATACTATGTAAAGTCTTAAATTCTGCATGCTTCTAATATCGCAGGAAAATGTTCTCATGCCATTAAGTATTCTTTAGAAAAATAGTTTTAGTGGAAGCATTCTATTTTATTATATGGACATATATAAATTTATCACTAATTAGTTTATAAATACTGTTTACTGCATCCTTTTTCTCTACCTGCAAGCTGTATTCATGCTTCCATTGGCAGGGAAATTTCAGGATGCTATCTGTATGTGCATACATTGAAATATCTTACTCAGGATTGCCCATAAAGTGTTTTTATGATCTAGATAGTTTATTTTTAAATATTTCAACATTTTCCCTGTTTCATTCTTCATAGAACATTTATATAAATGTCTTTTTCATACTATTCTAACAAAGTTTTGACCACAATTTAACATTCTTTGAGCCAAAGACATTTCTAAACACAAGTAGCTATGGTACACAGAAGCTAAGTGATGCTCTGAGGTCTGTGTAAGTGGTCAGGCTGCTGGCCTCACAGCAAAAATACTCTGGTGTGATGATAATGAGGATCGGTGCTCTATTCTTTTTTCCCTCCGAGGTCAAGTTAGACTCTTCCTTCTATCCGTATATCCAAATTACTTTTAAACTAACATCTGAATTACTCTTAGGTGTGTGACAAAACTTTTCTGAAGATGGACATTTATTTTAATGGGATTGATAGAGAATTCGAAATAATGTAAAATTTGTGTGTATGTGTGATTCTGCCAACAAGAAACCTTAATCAGATGAAACTGAACTCTGCAGGATTCAGCTACATAACCACACACATATACCCTTCTAACATCTACCAGCTACCTCCATTTGCCTCACGTGTTCCAGTCCATACCATCCATTTGGTGTTACTGCTTTCTTTTGGATTTCAGGTAACTCTCCTTCTTTATATTAACTCACTTCACAATAACCCATGCCACAATAACTCACTTTACAATGCTATAAGCACTCTAATGCCCACTTTCATAAACCAACACTGGGTCTTTTTCGAGGTGTTTTATCTGTGTATTTTGTAAGCATTTTACACCATGGAAATGTGTTGCCATTTTTGTTACATTTTGCTATAGTCTAAATGTTTGCGTCTCCTCCCAAACTCTTATGTCCAAAATTTCATGCCCAGAGTGAAAGTACTCGGGGGTGGGGCCTTTAGGGTGGTGATTATAGCCTTTACAGAAAAGATGCCAGAGAGCTCCCTTACCCTTTCTACCCTGTGAGGACCCAGGGAAGAAATTCTGCGTATGAGATGGAAAACAAGTCCTTGTTCTCAGACTTCCAAGCCTCCATAACCATGAGAAATAAATGCCTGTTATTTTGAAGCCACACTGTCTCTCGTATTATAATAGCAGAATGAGCTAAGACAGGTTTGTATCTTTTTTTAATGTGTCTTAGTATGACGCATTACATATGTGACACATTACATGTGAAGTTGACACATAAAAAAGTTTGTATATATTGTATGTTGTGTCTTGGTCCCATTTCTTTTCCTAAGCCTTGTGTTTTTATTGTGCTATTCTGCGCTGTGAGGTCAGTTTTTAGGAGCATGCATACCACATAACAAAACTAATCATATATACAATTCCTTGGAGAAATGCCTGTACAGGACCATTGTGAAAGCTAATTTTCCTTTAACTCAGAAGCATTTCCAATTGCTGTGCTGAGAGGTCCTAAACTGTTTGTTTTCTTTGAGGTGGATCTAAGACTGACATGGAACAAGTTGGGACAATGTATGTCTCCCAATGGCTGGCTCTTTTTCAGCTTTCAGATCTCCAAGAGGCTGGGGACCAACTCCCCCTCTCCTGGCCCCATCCCTAGTCACTCTGCTCTCTGCTGTGTTTTCTTTGATTCTTACTTATCAAAATTATCTTAATGTATGATAACATTGTATATGTTACGTTACATGTTACCTGTTTATTGTTCCTACTAGAATATACACTCATAAAGGCAGACAGCTTATCTGCCTTGTTTATAGTTGTATTATCATCACCTAAAGAAGTCTGCAAACACATGAGGATTAACACATGTTTGTATTTTGTCAACCAAAGATTCCTTTTCTGGTGTTTAACATGAAAACTGTAATGCCTATTTCCTTGTATAGGTCCATCCAGAATTATTTTGGGATTTTCCCTGTTATGAAAGTGTCAGGCTTACATGCATTTTCACACTATTAACTTCTAAGAAATAAGTAAACACATAGTGATTCAGAAGCCAAACTTAGGCCTTTGTTTATCATACTGTTTTCTAACCAGTTTTTCTTCTTTTTCTAAACTACAATTATTTCACTTAAGTTAATATCTAAGAATAGGCCCCTGAATTCAGCAGCTTGAGTAGTAAGAGAGAGGAAGGGCAAGGATGTTGTTGGCTCTTGACAAACACCAACTGAACATGTAATTAGACGTGCTGGCTGGGTAAGGGGAGTTGGGCCAAAGGCAACTTAGAGACTTGCTCCTGACACAAAGCTGAAAATGAGTTTCAGCAAACATTTATCTAGTGCCCCCTAATGGCAATGTCCAGTGCTAGAAGCTGAAGGAGTAAAATTAAAAATAAAATAAACATCCTTTGCTACATGAATCTACAATTCGGTGAGAAAGGTGTATAAGGGGGCCCACGTAAACAGATTCCCATTTGAAATACATATTGCTCAAAAGGAAATACTATTTAACTACTGTTTAACAAATTGCCTTTGGACTGGGGGGAGACTTTGGATTTGATGTGGGCTGAACCTGAAAGAGGGGCCATACCTGTCACCTGCCTGTGTCCTCTCAAGCCATTCCCCACTCCTCCCTGCTATGCTTTGCATTTCAGGAACCTATATTTATTTCCTAGGGTCCCAGGGTCCAGTGCCCACTGTCTTGTAGATGGGTTTGTCCGGTGGGAAGCTTTGGCTGAAGATGGGAGGGCCAGAGCAAGGGAAAGAATAAGCTCCCTCTCTCTATCTCCTTTGCTTGGGCAGCACACAGCAGATTGTAGCTGTGACTTCTCTGTGGTTCCAGAAAGTACCAGCCATGTCCTCCATGATTTCAGTGTCAAGTTGATGCTCCTGGTCCCGGGCTCTGAGAGTATCTGGTTCCTTCTAGCCCAGGGAAGCACAGGCTCCCCCCTACTGATGCTCATTTTGGTGTTGCCTCACTTGCTTTGATTTGGCATCTTGGCTCTTCAGTTACTCAAGCAAAAAAATTCCCTGTATTAATTAAATCTCCTCTGAGATCTCCAGGGATGATTTTTGTGTGACTGCCTACAATCTCGGCGAAATAGGAGATAAATTCCTGATGGGGAAGTACCACACAGGCTCTTGTCTGGAAAAGAATGAGGGTCCAGGAGGAAGGTTTAGCCCACAGGAAAGAAGTTCAAGGCTACCTAAAAGCAGGGATTCTCAGACATGTGGAGACCATGTTGTTGAGGCAAAACCATCCTGAGCCTGGTGGGTCTTTGGAAGGCTAAGGAAGGTTCTCTTTCTACAAAAATATCAGGGCGAAATGTTGCTCAAGAAGGGATGCCACCTACGTAGGCAAGCCACAAGGCTGGAGGATTTTGGATGCAGTCCACCTCTTTGTTTTCTATGGAGTTTAAATCTTCTATAAGGGGCTCTCGGGAATGACTCACTCACTCAGAACACCAAAACTGGAAGTTGTCTTCTTCCTTCAGATTATATGCATGAGGACACTAAAGCGGTTGTATGGGAAAGTGCTTTGCTCAAGGTCACACAGCTGGCCTAGCTGGAAGGAGAACTCCACTCTAATTTCAGGGGCAAAGCCTTTTTGATGATGTCACTGGAGCCTTTACCTCTCCTCCAGTTTTGGCTCATTACATTACATGCAAGTTTGCTCCTTCTGTAACTACAAGATTCTAAACAAATTTGCATGGGTTGATCACATATTAATAATTTCTAATTTTGAGCTAAACATAATAAGCATGTTACTCATTCCAAAGTAACCCATTTGGGTGGTTTTTAAAGTAGAATAAAGTAATTTAATAAAGCAACAGACATTATGTAGTCAACTAAAATGCAGGTAGAATTCAGGTAGTAGAATATATTCTCCTTTGTTAACAAAACCAAAAACCAAGCAAGCAAGCAAACAAAAATAAACCTTCGAGACTGGTATTTACTACATTCTCACACAATTAGCCTTTAAAAAATCCTACAGTTGTATCACTTCTGTATGAAGACTGCCCGTCATGGTTTGGTTTGAGATAAAATAAACTCCTGGAGGCCAAGACTTTAGAGACATTATCTGTTTAATAAATATGATTGTAAAAGCAATAAACAAGAGCAAGTATACATTACACTACATAGTATTTAACAAAAAAATACATCAAAAAAGTCATTTTAAAATTAGAAGTAGTTCCAATACTATAAGAAAACTTTCTCTCTTTTTTTTTTTTTTTAAATTGGCTTCCTATAAAAATAAGTTGGCAAATGAGGGATTTCAATGCTCAGTTGGAATCCTGGAAAACACAGAACAGCTGCCAAACACCCCATTGCTCTCAAAGTTGCTGTTTGGAACTTCTGAAAAAAAGCAAAGCAAACCTCTGCATTTTGGACAGTGAATCCAATTAGGAATAAGGCAAAGGAGAAAATGTTGGTTGGGTAGTCCAAGGGAGAGCGCGCACAATTTGCCTTCTGGGATTTTCGGAAAATGTTTTAATATCAGATTTTTAGCTTGCCCTGAATCCACATCCATCCCTCCCCTGCCACTCCTCTGGCCAGAAGCCCACCAAACTCCTCATTGTACTGTTTGCACCTGCTGTTAGCGAGTCAGTAGGCACTTGGGTCCCTCCCATTTGTAGGCTCTCATTACTACCTTCTCTTTGGGACTGAGCTGGAGTGGCAGAGTGCAGCAGTTCCCAAACTTCTGCGTATATCACAATAAACTGAAGATCTGGTGAAAAAAGACTGCTGGGCCCTATGCCCTGGAGTTTCTGATTCAGTAGGTCTGTAGTAAGGGAACCCCAAATTTGCATTTTCTAATAAGTCTGAGGTGATGCTGATTCTGCTGGGTCCAGGTACCACACTTTGAGAATCACAGAGCTAGATCATAAGAACAATGAGGTCCCCTCTGAGCAGTACCTTGCCTTGCTCATCTCCTACAGGTGGGAGGGAGCTTTGATGAGAGGCACATGAGGATGCTGGAGATGCTGAATAAAGAGCTGGCCATCTGTAATCATGTTCCAAAATGCCAGGCATCTCATGTCTACCTCTATTTTTAATTAGGATTTATATACCCATTTTTTCTTATGTTTTCTCATGTATTCTTCCATTTATTCCTTCCACAAGTAATTTTCTTAATACCTATTCTAGGCAAGGCACTGTGCGAGATTAAGAGGGTTATTCCCTTTTTCATAATTTTCCAATTAAAATTAATTGAATTGCAACTCTGAGGACTCCCTGTGCTGTTTTGAGTGAGCCTCTTGGTTTCCAAACATTTTGTCTTCCAGATTAAACTTGGAAGGCTCCAACTGAAGCGGATCGATGAGGATGTTTCCTATGGGATAGGAAGCCTGGCAGGTTGGGGATCAATTGAGTTCTACAAACAGATGGCTGCCTCAGGCATAATCCATTTCCCAGATTCATACTGGGCATCCTCAGCCACAAAAACTTCTGTTTAACTTCTGACTGCAGCTTTGCTACTCTTCCCCTGCCTGAGCTACATTAGGGCAGGGATCGTCAGGATCTTTGGGACACCCCCATTATCACCAGGACCCTGTCATAGATGTGATTGGCTTGGGAACATGGCCCAGAAGGAGGCTGCTCTCTGTGAATGGTTTTCAAAACCGCTTCCTCCTATATTTTAGAGTGGGCTTTGCCCCATTCATAATCCTCCAAGGACTTCTGCTCAACAGACTTTTGTTTCCTTCTTTCTCTGGGCCTTCTTTGATTATTGCCCTGGGTAAATGGGGATTGTTTATACTCTGAGCCAATCTGCTTTGTTTAGACATCTACCTCCTTGCTTCGAAGCTTACTAATTTTTCCTTTGCCAATACTATGATACTCAGAGATCAGAGAGCACACCTGTGAAACGTCTGGGATCATCCTACATAATCAAAATCTTATCCTAATGTAAGATAAGACTTCCATATACTCTTATATTTTTTGACACTCTTAAATATTAAATCCATTAACCTGCTTCTTCTTCTGGTTAAAATCAGTTTTATTTTACAAATGTTTTTACTGTACTGTGAGAGAACAAATACTGGGTAATAGCAACCATTACAGAAGGAAATTGCCCTGCCACATAGTAACATGTTTGAAACATTTCTCACAAGCATATTCTGGAATCTGCACATGAGATTTTTGTTAAGGTGTGAGAATACCACCATTCATCTGTCTGCTTTCTTTCCCAGTGTACATGGCCAGGTTTGAATTGCTTTGCATACATCAAACTCTTTCACACACTTTGCATGTTTCCAGGTGGGACAAGGCAAGGCTATTTGGAAGAGGCAGGTTCTATAGGAGAAGACAAAGGAAACATGGAGCCGAGCCAAACCCTGCAGGGCAGGATGCAGCCTGGTCAGTGTGCAGGAAAGCGGGCATGCTGACAGATCATAAAGTTGTGAGTGTTCGGGGGGCGGCGGGCAAGTCTGGCAGACGCTAGGCCAGTATTTAGGGAACACCAAGGTTAATGTGTAGAATTCAGTAACATGTTTGGGAAGAAAAAGGAGGAGGAGTTGAAAGACAACTTGGAGTTTGGAAGGAAGAGGTACAAAGACATCAACAGAATCATGACCACACCTGGGTAGCAAACAAATGGGGAGGCCAGACGCTGGGGAACTGGGATTCTATTTTCTATGTTAAGTTGGGATGGGAGTATAAAAGCTACCAGGGGAAGCCTTGGTGACAGAAAGGGGTGAACAGGAAACAGAGGTCCACGTCTGACATGTTTGCCCCTCCTGCCTGCCTTCCCTACTCTGCCTGCGTACATGGAACTTCACCTGGCTCCTTCTTCCCTGTGGCCACACAGAATGCAACACGCAAGCAGCCTTGTGGCCACTGCTGGCCGCCAGAGCTACCAGAGAAAACTTAGAAAAGAAATTGGCAATGAGGAAAGTGGGACAGAGAAACAGCTCAGGGTTTCACACTCCTGTGCATGTCTTTGTGTCGTATGAAAGGGGCTGGGGCGGCTACTCCCCCCCATCAGCCTCTAGTGCTAAAATAGCTGTTAAATCTAGAGCCAAGAATATTTCCAAAAACACATGCAGATTTCCTTGGCCTCTATATGTTATGAATTTTCTACAAACACGACCGATCAGAAAAAAGAGAGAGAAGAGGAAAGGGGGAGGGGAGTGTTTTTTCCATTAAAATAGAGCACCTGTACACTGCCCCTCCAGCATGTTCTCAAGGTATTGTCCACATGCACAGGCTTAAAGCTAAAAACCCTTGTTGTCTGTGTCTGAAGAATTAAAAAGTCCCGATGCAGTGAGTGTTTGTTTGTCTGTTTGTTTGGATTTTTGATTGTTTTTATTTTATTTTTGTTTGATTTTGTTTTTACTGGCGTCCTCCATTCAAACATTTACATAGGTAGGGATTTCTTTTGTGCTTTGATTCTCAGCAACTATGGAAATACTTCCTGGCAAAATAGGAAACAGAACAACAAAGGAAAGAAAAAAACATAAAGTTAGTGGTCATGAAGGATGGTGCACTTGACAAGAGCGAAATTCTTTCCTGATCAGCAGGTCGCCTGTAGCCTTTGGGGGTTTTCCTTAAATTGCAAATTGTGCCCCAGCAGATCCCCGCTTTGGCGTTGAAGGTGGAGTGGCGTGTCTTGCTCTTTGCAATCGGAGAGATGAGTCACCAGGTTGAGTAGAAGGGGAGGGAGGGGAGGGTAAAGCTACTCTCCTAAGAGAAAACGTGTAACACTTACTCATTTAATGACACTGACAATGGAAAGGTGTCAGAGACTGTGCAATGTGCTGCGGGATGCTCCTGGTGAGGGAGGGATTGCTACTCTCATAAAGTCAACAGCACTGTGCTTCATACCCCGTGGAAATGGGATTGAAAACCAAATGACCCACAAAAATGCACTTAGAAGCTTTAGAAGTAAATAGGGTAAACGCTTCTCTGGACTTGAAGACAGAGAAGCCTTTTCTTTTGAACCTAGAGCAATTACACATTTATCACCCTGTCTCCCCAAATAAAAGCAAGCACGCTGTGAACACTGGACCCCAGATGTGGCTCCAGCTGCTATTATTACCTCCGATACAAGCCTGCACTGAAATTTCGCCCAGTGCCGCCACAGTACTCTTCCACAGCCATTGAAAGAGAGGGTCATGGTTCCATTTAGGTGCTCATTTCCCCTTCTAAGTAACAGATTAAAAATCTTAGGTAGTGGCCTTCTAGACATTATTTGGTATTCAGACATTAGAGCGAGGCACAAATGGTTATCTAAGGATTTATCCATCTTGGTCAGCAATGCAGGACTTGAGGTGGCAAGATGACAGCTTCAAGTCCTGGCACCAACAGACAGGAGGAAACAAGGGCAGCCATGGATCACAGTGGTGGCTTCACGGCTTTGTCTACTTTCCTGGAAAATTTTCTCTGCCATAGATAGTAGACTTAGCAATTACGCCTGAGACTCTAGACCTAGCTGTTGGGTTCCCAGCTTACTTCATAGGCAGAGAGAGAGAGAGAGAGCGCTCTAGTGATATATGGTAAGTCCACTGTTAAGACTTCAGGATAGGGGTAGGCAAACAGGAGGAAGAAATCTCCTCATCTGCTCTCTAACAGTCTAACTCTTCCAGTGGTCTCCCTTAGGAAACCTCTCTCCTGGGATGTTCTGCAAATTTTATACCTCTTGTCCTCAAAATTCTCAGGTTTCATATTTCCTGGGGAGGGGGGGGGCGGTGTAGTTTTTAGATTCCAGCTAATTAAAAAAAAAAAAATCCCAGGGTGATCAGCTTGGCCCTCCTCTATTCTGTCTCATGATGTCACTTCTCTACAAGTATTCTAGAGCAATTTGCCCTCCATCGAGTTGACGCGGGCCCAGGCTGCTCTGTCCTATCCTGTCCTTCCCTACCCTGCCTGGCCCTCCAGATCCCCAGAGCCAGCCTCTGAGGCCTGTCCTTCTTGTACATTGTTAGAGCAAATGCTCTGCTCTTTGCCCACAAACATTCTGAAGCCCCATATTTTAGAGCAAGAGTTTTTGCAAAAGGAGGAATTAAAGTCACGAGAGAGAGAAAACAAAACACTACATAGGAGCAAGAAGGCTTTTTTTTCCCCTCCTTATTCCAATGGCAGGAAGCAGGGGGAGAGACATCTTAGCTGGTTGTCTCAGGAATGTTAGAGCAGGAGAAAGTGGTTACGTGAAGCCAGAAAGGGGTTAGATAGAGTCAGCCGCAGACTACCCAGGCTGAACAGCTGATGGCTACTAGGAATCATTTACCTATGAGCTGTGATTCCACCTTCTCATCTATCAGTTGGCCAGGCCTCCTTAGTTCAGTCTGAGGGATATGGGCCCTGCTTTCAGGGTGAATGACCCGACTGACCATCTCTCGTTCTTTCTCATTCTGCATCTGGGCATAAACATTAATCCCCGGGATCTTCCTAAAACATTAACAGACAGCATCATTGCTATGCACGGGAGCTGTACATCACGGCAGCACATGCTTCTGAACCTGTCAGGGAGAGGGAAGGGCGAGGGGAGATGTGGCTGGGGGCCCACGTACCTTTTAAACTTGTAGATGACGAACACGGCCAGCCCCACAAACACCACTGAGAGCAGCATCAGCATGGCAGATCCACTGTGGGTTGGAGTGAGGTCCACCAGTGGGGCTAGGGGAGAACACAGGCACGGTCATGGGCAGAGATGCGGGCATGCCTGACCCTGTAAGGTGCTCACACTCTTCATGCAGAGGCATCGTGAGTCCCAGGAAAGCACGCGGGGCCTACACACACTGATGCGGGTCACCCGGCAGACTTGGGGGTGCATTTGAGCCTGTCCGAGCCCCCAGAACACTCCAGCTGGCCTATTCACCAGAAGCAAAGACCCTGGAGCCAGGCCTGCTCTACAGCATCCTGCCCCTGTGCTTTCAGGCAAGTTATTTCACCTCAATGGGCTTACGTGGTGAGAGAATAACAGCACGTATCTCATCGGGTTTGCGTGAGAACCAGGTGAGTTCATGTACGTAAAGCACTGCTAACAACGTGGGACACACATTAAGTCTTTCATAAGTATTAGCTTTTATTACTATTGCTGCTGCTATTCCTTCTAATCAATATTGATGAGAATATAATTATCACATTTTCCTGTACTGGAATGTAAGCTTTTCTCACACTAAGCAATGCGCATCACCAGAAAAACCAACAGGAAGATTTTTATGAATTATCTGCTCTCACTCCTGTCCTTACACCTGTCATGTGAGACAAAGACCTGGAGAGTGATGGAGCACCCTTATCTTTTCTGCACATAGGAAACTGATGGCTCAGTGAGTATTTCACAAGAGCAGCCATGGTGGTGCAGGCAGAGGGGTGTGCAGTCCAATATTGTCTCTACAACTTTCCAAAGCCCTGACAGCCATGCCAGGAAGCGCCAGCCTCTCAGATGCTCTAAGTTCTCCTCTTGGGCCAAACAGATGTCTTTGCATCCATTAAAGATTCTCTCTCCCTGAGTTTACCTTTAGATCGTAGCTCTCGGGAGCTTCTCTTTCCACCTGCAAATCCTCCCTAGTCTTAGAGTCAAATCTGTTGTGCTTTAAGGCCTCTGTTTGCAATTAATTTTCACCCTCTCAAAAACTGACATTTTGCAAAAACAGCATAGCTCAAGCATAAAAGACAAGCCACATGTACAATTAGAAGGCCTGGATGCTGAACTTGACCTTCCACCATTTAAGTAAAGTCTGATATTTAGAAATATAGGTGACCTCCAAGCACCATTTTCTGTTGCTTTTTTTCTCTTGAGAACCAAGAAGGCAATGCTCTGGTCACCTGGGTACAAAAGTTCAAGAAGAGGTGCCTGTATACTGATGGACTCCAAAAAGACTCGAGGCTCCAATCAGTGCAACTGGAGAGCATGTTCCAGATACCAAATAGTTTTGGTGGGAATGAGGTCAAGCCCTCTTTCTCAGAAAATAGGTTTAGTTGTTTTAGTAGACTGAACTTTTAAGAAGCAGGAAAATTATGCAACCCCTTGATTCTCTCTCCTAAGTCAAGCAGAGCTTATGCTGTGCAGGGCTCGTGAGTGAGTGAGTCTGTGTGTGAGGAGGCTGCAGGCAGACACCCAAGGCACATGTGCTTCTAGGTCAAAATGAGAAAATAGAAGTGTCTTTTATTTACTTAGGCAAATATGGCACCATCAGCAAAGGAGTCCAGAAATACTTCAGAACTCACACCACAATGGGTAGGATGTCACTGGAGAAAGGGACACCGTCAGTTTTTCATAGCTATTATTGCAATCGACTTCCACAAATGGAAGGCAAGGGCTGTGACCTCCACTGAACAGATAAGAACAGGGAGGCTCTCACTGGTTTATGTCCTTCCAGAGCACTCAGAAGTAGGAAATGGAAGAACTAAGACCTGAACTTGAGTCCTATCACAAATACCCACACAGAGCTAATTTCAGTGAAGATACTAGAAATTTAAGAATATATTTCTGAGACAGGGAATTAGGGCTCAAACTATAGTGTGAGAAGCAAATTAAGTGACCCAAGTTAAAATATTATCAAGTCTTAAAAGGACTAATTAGAATCCTAAAGCATGCGTAGGTGATGTGTGTACATACATAAGCATATGTGTATACACACGCACGCTCCATGTGCAGGGAGAAATGTACCCAGAACCTGGCTGCAACAAACATCGACCACAGACAATATTATTCTATTTTTATCCCCATCCAGTCCCCACAACCTCAACGGTTGGATAATTCTGAAGCAAATCTTAGCCATCATGTAATTCCATCCCTAACTGCAAAAGATAAGGTCTTTCTCTTGACATTATCACAATACTGTTATCACACACAAGAAAATAAAAATGGGAAGATATTTTATAAGTAATCTTCTTTTTTTATATATTTTTTATAAGTAATCTTCTAAGGCAAACCCTTAGCTTGACGGGGAACATATGTGGGTTCAGGGAGGGGCCTCTCTGTTTAGGATGGTTGGAGGCAGGTTAGCTTTATTAAGCTAAACTTCTAATTCCTAGCTGCATGCTCTTTCAGAATAAGCAGAGAGCAGTGCTATGGAGTAACCAGGAGGGATACTAAGCCTGCTTGAAAGGGTTGGCATTTGAAATAAATGGAAAAGTAAAGAGAGGAAATTGCTTTGGCCAGGCTCTTGCTACCAGAGAAAGCAAACACACACACACACACACACACACACACACACACTCTTTCCCTTTTCTTCCCTTCATCCTCTTTCTCTATATCACAAGCTTCTGTCATTCAATTTTAAATCATTCCTACTTAAAACATCATCCAAAAACAAGGAACATTAGCACTAGTAAGTAATTAGCATAGTATTTCGGGAAAATGAGCCTCTGTATTCTGAGTTCTAAGGCGGCTGCACCCCCCTCACGTAGCCTCAGAGGCAGGCAGGCAGGCGGGCAGGCAGGCAGCAGCCGGCAGAGCAGGGGCAGGCCCGACGCCACTGTCCTGTGTTCTGCGGTGCTGCTTGCTCACCTGCACCTGAATATAAGCGGGCCTATTACTGCCGCACACAACAGCAGCTGCATTATCTTAGTGTGCCCAACGTTTAGGTGAGTTTGTGTGTATTCTGCTGAGGAATGGAAACTTGTGATAAATGGGCTTTAGCTTGTTGTGTGGAATTAGCATAAATTAATCCCTCTCCAGTTGCAGCCTAAACAAGGTAGAAGCGTCAAGGAAAGTGCTGAGCAGTTTATTTGCCATCATCCACACACAGAGTAAAGCATGGGCACATCAGTACTGTAGGTGACTCCACATTTCCTTTTTTTTTTTTAAAGAGAGGGAGTGGGGAAGGGGTGGAGAGAGAGGATCTTAAACAGGTTCCACACCCAGCACGGAGCTGGATGTGGGGATCGATCCTTACAACCCTGAGATCCTACAGCTGAAGTCAAGAGTGAGATAGTTTACTGACCAAGCCACCCAGGCACCACTAACTTCACATTTCTAAGTCTGGGCCCTGGCACACACAGTTTCTGAAATCCTGGGAGAACTCCGAAATGCAATGAATTATGTTCTATTCATGAGGACCTAGGGTGATTATAACAGCAGCACTGCTACAGAAATGACAATAGTCTTCCTGTGAAAAGTGACTGAAAGATATAGTGAGTGCTAAATAAATGCTCACAGCCTGTGTGCACAGCAGCAATCTCAAAACGTCATGTCTGGGGTGAAGAAATTGATATGGTCTCATTTTGGAATCAGATTCTGAGTCTGCCACTTGTGGGCTTAAGTGACTTAAATAGAACCTCAGTTCCATCATCTGCATAATGGAGATAAAACTAAGTGCTAGTTTTAGAAAGTTGTGAGAATAAAACAAGATGGAATTTTTATAGCACTTGGCATAGTGTCCAGCACATAGTACATACTCAGTATTTGTAACACTGTCATATCATTGTTAGTCCCAAAAGATGGTGAGAGTTCTATGGTTAAATAATTTTGGAAAGTGGTATATACAGCATTCCTGAGGATTTGCAATCCTCATCAGTACTTAAAAGTTCACAGCTGTCCTAGGGGGCACCTGGGTGACTCAGTCAGTTCAGTGCCTGACTCTTGGTTTCGGCTCAGGCCATGATCTCAGGGTTGTGGGACTGAGCCCCATGTTAGGCTCTGTACTGGATGTGGAGTCTACTTGGGATTCTCTCTCGCTTTCCCTTTGCCCACCACCCCTGCCTCTAAAATAAATAAATATACCTTAAAAAAAAAAAAGTTCACAGTAGTCCTGCAGGAAAGAAACTCATTGAACTCTACCACAGTGTTTCTGAAACTCATATGGCCACAGCCCCTTTGCAGACTAAGGTGCCACACAAGCTTTACCTGGGGTACCACTTTCCCCTTTGCTGCAGCCCTGCCCCTTTGTTGAGTTTATTTCCAAGTTGTAGCATCAATAATGTGGTGGCATTAGCTGGTGAAACCATGCTAAAAAACCCTATAGCTCTTTGTATTCACTCTCATTCTATCAAAGGGACTTTCTTGGAGAACTTCTACCTGCATTCTGACTCTGAAACCCTGAACTACATTTTTAATCCATTTCTACATTTCTAATCCAAAAGTTAGTGTGGTCAAGAATTTACAAAACCAAGTTTGCCAAATCTTGATTTTCTTTTTGGCTCTCCTGCCTCCAAGGCAGAACTACGCTGGGCTTTAGTAACATGCCTTGAATATCACAATCCATGTGGTCTGAAATCTCTTTTTCAGAAATTAAAGTGATATGGGAATGGCACAAAGTTTATTTAGAAAACAGAAAGAGCAAAAGGTTTTCATTTACGAAGCATTCATTCTTGGCCAACAGGCCTTTCTGTCAGTTCAAATCCAAACCCAATCATGACAGTCTTTTTTTTTTTTAAAGATTTATTTATTTATTTATGAGAGAGAGAGAGAGAGAGAGAAAGAGAGAGAGAGAGAGAGAGAGAGAGAGAGAGAGAGGCAGAGACACAGGAGGAGGTAGAAGCCCGGAGCCCGACATGGGACTCGATTCCAAGACTCCAGGATCGTGCCCTGGGCCAAAGGCAGGTGCCAAACCGCTGAGCCACCCAGGGATCCCCTAATCATGACAGTCTTAAGGCCTGTCATACCCTTTTAGGATGAAACCATGATCCTGGAGGCCTAACGGCCAGTGTGAGGATTCCAGAGAAGACTC